ACTTCAATTGTAATTTATATTATAAAAAATCTGCATTCATGAATATGCCTGATAAAGCACTTTTTATAATAAAAAAAAACAATTCAATTAGTTGTCAAAGAATTTAATAAGATTGTAAATTTATTTTCAAACATATACTAAGTATAATTTGGCATGGTTATAGTTGAAAGTATTTCCAAATTTCACAGAACTCCTTTCAATACTAGTTAGAACTTTCAATCAAAATCATCTCGTGATATCATAATAATTTTAAAATTAAAATAATTAACTATATTTGTGAAGAAATAAATATTAACTGAAGTTTTAATATTAATAGGGTTTAGTATTGAAGTAATTTAAGCAGAATACAACTTGGGCAAAATAATTTGATAAAATTTGGCAAAATTAAAATGTTATTTACCGTAAGTGCTGTATAAAAAAATTTATCTTGAAGTTGCAACCTAACCTAAATTTTTAATATGGAGGTTATTTATGACTATTGGCATAAGTAATAATAATTTTTTGCAAAAAGGCATTCTAAGATTGTAAAAAAAACAATATCAATACATATACAAAAATCATATATGGTACAATTTTTTTAAAAAAAATAAAGAATTCTTATTAAGAGACATAAAAAATGAAAGATTTAGGTTTTTTATGATGACTAATTTAATTTTAACAGGAATTACATATGAAATATATCAAATAAATTTATTTAGCTTATAAAAACTGTAGTGAAAACTCTTTTCTAGTATTACAAATATCTAAATTAAATATTCTAATTTGGCTTATTACAACGTGAATTTAGAAACTTTTCTTTGATCACAGCAATATCATTAAACAAGCTTTATTAGATAAGATTTAAAGCTATGCTTAACAACTTTCAGAGCTTAAAGAAGCAATCAATTAAAAAGCAAAATGTTAGGCTCGCAGACTTTCTAGTTAAGAAATAAAAATAATAAGGCATACATAAAAATCGAGTAAATTGATTTTTTGTTTAAAAAAATACAAAATCTCAAAAAGAATAAATTGTATACATTAAAGATGATAATTTATGCATTTTTTAATATTGGCTGCACATCACAAGAAAATTCAATACATAAATTAGGTTTAGAAATAAAATAATCCTTTGCATTCAAAGAGTTATCATTAATTTCCTTATAGTTTTTATAATCAAGTTTCTCATCTTTCTTGAAACCTGGATTACTATCTTTAAGTGAATTAATTGCAATCAAATATTTTGCACCATATTTGTATTCGGTATTACTTTTATTTAATTCTAATAAGAGTTTACGTCCTTCATTATCTTTTTTTTCGTAAAAAAAGCATTTGCCTTTGTAAACAAATATAAATCTTTCAAATTTTCATCAATTTTTATATCTAGTGGTTTATAATATCCTTTTAAAATAATATTTGTAAATTCACTAGTATCAATTTCAGAAAAAATAGTCCAAGCTTTTTTGTATTCTTTTTTATCATGGTGCTCTTTCTTGTGAGAACCGGCACCCCACAAGATCGAGCTTTTTTGTGCTCCGAGTTGGTTGCCTGATTCGGCTCAAAAAAATTAAAAAAAATTCATGTAATTTTATTATTATTATTAGCTTAATCAATTTTATATCGAATAATAAACTTGTATAAAATATATAATTTGCTTTTAATATCTTAATTATTTTATTTATTATGAGTTTTTTTCGTATAATCATATGCTGAGCGTTTTACTATTTGTGTGGGTGATGCAAACGAATTTTGCAAAAAAGTAGGCTATGGAAACAGATTAACTATTGATTTAAAAATAATAAATTTTGTTGTTATATGAGTACAGTATTATCTTTGTTTGATAACTCTTAAAACCTCGTAAGATTTCATCAGGTAATCTCCTGATATATTTAAACTTTCATAATGTGAAAATATTAAATTACAAGATTTTGAACCACTTTGAATATTCAAATTGGTGGTTCCAAAAATTGGACTATCTGAAGTACTACAACCAATGGCCTTTTCTTCGAAACCAGATATAATATTTGATTTCTTATAGTTATAACCATTTAGTGTCTTATATTTGTTAAATAGAAAACTATCTCTAGTTTTTTTCTATCCATTTTTACATTCCCAATCTAATAGATTGTAACCACCTATTAAATTATTATCATATAATTTAATAATTACTATAGTGGGCCCTTTTCTATCACAGTTTATATGAAAGGTTTCTGATTTTAAACCATTATGCTCTGAATTAAATAAAAGTTCAAACTTGTACCAACACTCATGATAGTTTTTTTTGCCGCTTATCCAAGTGATTAATATTTTGGCTGTCTAAATCTAAAAGTTCAGATTCAAAACAAAAATTACTATCTCAAAAATCATAATAACTGTTTTTGTTAGTATTGTATCGCATTCGCAGTTCGTTAAGTATATCTGTATTTATATTTTTCTGCTTAAATTTACGAATTATATCACTAATTTCACAAATAGTAATCTGGTTGAACCTTATACATTTTATTAAATATTTCTTATCTGGAAACCTATTTGTATCTAACCAATATTAAATAACTCTATTTAATAACTTGTGTTCTTCAAGATGTAACTCTGATATCGATATTAATTTATAAAAAAGATTTTCAGGAATTTGTTGATTCTCAAATTTGAATAATAACACCGGTTTCAAACACAATTTTTTTAACAATATCTCCTTCATATCGTTATGCAAAATGATCATCTCAATATATTTTAAGTCTTCTGTTATAGTTATAATATTTTTGGTAAAATATGACTTCAATACATCGTGCAATTCCATAATGCGCATTTCATCAGAGAGCAAAAACATATTTAAAAGTGTTCTTGTATTATGTGATGATGTTTTGAAGTCTGCACCATAAAGAAATCTTATAATAATATTCATAGAATCAGGTGTGGCATTTGGCTTGTGTATTTCATAATATTCATCTGGTTTTTTTTTCTAGCATTTTGATAATACACTTCGAAAATATTCAGAATGCATCTTAAGTATAAAAGAATTTGCATAAATTATTTCAGGTTTTTTATTTGCACCCACAATTATCTTTGTGTCGTAGAAATGCTTATTTTCATAAGTTAAAATCAAATCCTTTAAAAGATTTTCTTTTATTTGTTGTAATTTAGATGACAATATTTTTAAGTACCGGATGACTAATATACATATATATATATATAACCTAAACCAAGTTTTTTAACTGGAAATCATTTTAATTATACAGAATTAATTGAACAAATCACTTTAATTAATTTGCTTTTAATTTATAACTATTTGATAAGAATAATAGAAAAAGTGATTTAAATAAGGTTTTTTTTTATTTTAAAAAAGTTGTCAATTTACATAAATAAAATTCAAGCTTGTCAGAATTGAAAATATCAACAAATGCATTTGCACTTTAAGTAAATTATTCAAACCGTCTTTTTTTTATAAGGTAAACCTTAAACTTACTCTTTATTTGAGTAGAAAGTGTTAATAATAATTGACATAAGCTGAGATATCTCAGCTTAAAAGACAAATTGTTCGGTTTCAGGCATTTTGCATAAATATTATATTGTATAAATATGGTTGTGTTTTTTATATCTGCACTCTCAAAATTTACATACCTCTCTATATAGTATATTTTGGTCAAAATTTAAGAATTCAAATATTTTTAAATCGATTAAAATTTATCTCTAAGTTATATTTTTAAATTGACATTATATGTTAATTTTTTTGTAAATATAGTAATGTATTGTTTCAATTAGATTAATGTTCAAATGTAATTAAATTTTTATTGAAAATATGAATTATTTTATTAAAATATGCAGTATTAGTTCATTCGTTCGTTTAAAGTTTGGTCATTCATTTAATTTACTTATTATAATTTTTTTGGATGGATTCATTCAATCGGAATTTTTGATAATCAAAAATTCCAGGTACATGGGCGTAGCTCAATGTGGAAAATGGCTTGCTATTATAGTGAGCTATTTTTGAACCATCTTCTAACTGAGTTGTTTTTAGCAGAACTGATCAGGAGGAGTTAATCAAGAACTAGCGAAACTGCAGATATAATTTTATTGTCATCACTTTCATTAATGATTTATGAAATATAATCTATTTTATTTTTTTTTTACTAAAACAATACTATTAGGAGCCGAAGCGTAAGTAATTAAAAACAATTAGAATTGAAAAGCATTGTTACTAAATCACTTACAATGGATCATA